GGGGGCGGAGGGCATTCAGCACCGCGGACAGCGGCCCCGCCGCCGGGAGCGCGCTCACGCTTTCACACTCACATAACTCGTCTCTTCAACCTCCCCCCTCCCTTACCCCCTCCTCCCTCCCCCCAAGCCCTTTCCCCACTTTCAGCACTTCCAGTGCTTGAAAGGGCACTTGACAAAGGCAGTATGGGATCTGCTGGCTTGATCTGCTGGCTTAACCCCCCTACTCCCCCAGGGGTGAACTTTCCTCCTCCCCACGCCCCCCACCCTCCCTTCGGCTCTCCCCGCTCTCCTCCCGGCTCCCCTGGCTCGGTGCGGCTGTGTTGAGCTCCTCGGGCAGCTCAGGGCCAGTTCCCCTCCCCATCCCTCGTCTCCCGATGGCGGGAGGGAGCGAAAGCCGTTCCTCCGGAATGCAGCAGCTCTTTCAGCACCACGGCTGCGGACAGCGCCCGAGGGGGGGGGGGGGGGGAGCCTTCCCGGCAGGGGGCTGAGGCAGGGGGCACGTGTGCGACCTCACGGGCTTTTTCTTTTCTTTCTTTCCTTGTTTATCTCTCTTTCTGTCTTTCTTTCTTTCGCTTTTTCTTTTTCCCTTTCTCTCTTTCTCTCCTTCTCTCTTTCTCTTTCTTTTTCTCTCTCTTTTTTTTTTCTTTCTTTCTTTTCTTCTCCCCCCTTCCCCCCCCCCCCCACCCCCGCCACCCCGGGGGTGTTTTTGTTTGTTTTTTTTTTTTTCCCCTGGAGTTTTTCTTAAAGTTGCAAAGTGATCCACGGGTATCTAATCCATGCCCATAGGTTATGGTGATTATATGACACCCTTTTCCTCCCAGTTTATTGTAATCAGAATTTGTCAGCACTCTCAATTTGGTAGTGGAAGCTTCCATTTTGTGAGGAAGGGGTGTTGGTTTCTTCTAACATGGAGAAAAGTCTGCAGAGTTTGAAGGTGGGGGATGGGGCCCCATTCATGCTGAACATTACCATTTTGATTGCTTTGATGCCATTTTTGGAGGGGGGAGGGGATAGAATACCCTACTCAGCAGAGCACAAAGATGTTTAATCACTGTATAGAATCAAATCAGATACTTTCTTTTTTAAAGCAAATCTGACACTACATGATAGCTAAGGGCTGTTAGTCCTTTTTTTTTTTTTTTTTTTTTTTTTTTTTTTTTTTTTTTTTGGCAGTGTAAAACAGTGAGTTGTTGACTCTAATACAACTATACTGAGTAGAAGATTTTTTTCTAAACAAGGTAACAGTCTTTACTGCAACAATGCATCTTTATGTGTTCTTTCTTCAATATGGAAATAGTTTTACTGTTCTAAGTGGGTATTTAGAACATACATTTGATCATTTCCCCCTGTATTGTAGCAACTGTTTCAAGGCTGTTTAAATTTTTATGATGATAGTAAATGAGAAGCTATTTATTATGTGTCATGTTGGAATTTAGATAAGGCAGAGAGACACATTCGAAAATACAGTTTGAATGTTCTGATTCAGCTTGGTGAAAGGTTTTTTGCTAAGCTTGCACAATCTATTTATGCTTAATCCAACTAGCTAGTAAACAATTGCTATGTTTATGACTTTACTTTCTCATAGCCTTATAAATAAATCAATAATCTATGTAGTAATTAAACATAAAATACTGAAATTCTATAAACAGCAGATTTGACCTAGCAGGAAACATGCTATGTTTAGGCAAACCCCTGGTTTTAGATTTCTTTGACTGCTTTCAGTATCTTGTGCAACAAGAGCTTATAAATAGAGCCTTGCTGGTGACGTGATGTTCTCTTGCTCCAGACTGCCACCTCTGGAGGTCTAAAATGGAATCTTTCTTAGCTCACAAGTGAAATGAGTTTGGAGATCTTAGCTTTCAACCAAATCACAAAACCATCATGCAACTTTGCAGATTTGGTATAATTAGTAGTTTCTTCTTGGGTACTGGCTTACAAATGAACTGTCAATCCTTGAGGGTCTGAAGGACTGAGACAACAAATTGGCTACTATTGGAGCTGTTTAGCAGATTCAGGCTCACAGATTTGTGGATGTCAAAACACTAAGGTAACGAAGAAGGCTGTGTAAGGAGGGAGGCTGTGTTTATATTCCTTCCCTTCTTGCCCCACCCTTTTCTTCCTTCCCCCCAGTTTGTTTAGGCACAATTAATTCATAACTCAATAATGTATATCTTTGATTGTGCATGCACTGAATACAAAAGATTCTCAAATTACGTTTCAATTAAAATGCATGTGTGGATGGTGAAACAGACAGTAAAATGAATGGATGATCGCATCATCCACATCTGTTAGAAATATAGCAGGGCTGAGCGATACCTTTCAGTACCACTACTTATCAAATTTTCATTGAAGCTGTTAGCATTTGTGGCAATATTACTTCTCCTTAAAACTTAAATTAAAACCAGGAAGACTTGAATGAGAAAGTCAAATTTTGACCTGAGGTAAATGTATGAAGTAAACTCACGTGCAGAATTGGTTTTTAAGTTGCAGCCTAGTTCAAGATCCCTGACGTATCACTGTTTTTTTGTTTGTTTGGTTGGTTTTTAATTGTGATTGTTTAGAGAAGTATGGGATTAAAAATGTGTTTTCATGTTTTCAAGGAATTTTGGAACCATTATTCTTATTATTGAAAAGGCATGGTCTAAATCAGTACATAACTTGGCATTTTACTCAGAAAGACAGAAGTTAGATTTTTGTTCAGAGTCTATTCTTAATATACTATAGATTTGATGAATTGTAATAGCATTTGAGAGTGGGTTACCTTTTCTTTAACAAGATACGATGTGTGAAGACTCCATTAGTTGGTCCAGTGGTTTTACACCTTCAATCTACAGCACATGCAGAGCAGCAGTAACATTTTTATCTAAATTGTCAAGCAACAAGCATTTATGTGTAAATAAAAGGCTATCATAAGAGCCAGCACTGGTCTTAAAATGACACAAGAGGTGCTCTGTTGCATGCGTTTCTTGCTTTCTTTATGTCCTTACAGAGTCATTAAGTGTCTTTTAATTTTAGAAAGTTGTCTCTTACTAATTAATAGGTCAAGACAAACAAATAAATATACCTTTAACCTCCAGTCGGAAGTTAATTGTTACTGACATAAGTAGTAGGTAGGGAGCCAGGTTTTCAAAATTAACAATGAGCGCACAAGGGCTGCTATATTTTCAACTATGATGAACTCTGAATTCAGTCGGCCTATCCTGGAGCACAGTAATAAAAATATGTCTTCCTGAAAGACATTATGTATGTGCCATTCACTTGTGCACTGCCTCATTTCTTTACGATAATTTACTATCTATGCAGAAAATCAACATTAGTTTCAGGCAGACTGTCTCAACCTGTGCTATTGCTGGGCTGTATTTTTGGGTAGTATATCTGAAATTAAATCACTAACTGTATTTTGCCTGTGGTGATCACCACAAAGCCTGTTTGTAGAAAGTGTTGTATTTCTTAAAATTAAAATACAGTTCTTATATGAGTTGTTGGAAAGGATTTAGCTCAAGATGTCTAATTTTACTGATGTTGTATCTCTGTTTTGGGGAAAAGAAGGAAGTAGGTTTTTGTTTTGTTTTGTTTTTAAATTCATGCTGTGCTGTGTGTGGAAATGGCAGCATTGTTTACATGTGTTAGAGGGGAAATTATTGACATTTGCCAAAGCTCAGTATTTCATATGGTTGGGTACCTTCAAAATTGTTGAAATATAATAGGGGTTATAAGCATCACTGAAAACAGATAAGACCTGAAAGACATTTCCAAATCGAGTTGTGCCTAATGTAAAACTGTCCCAAAACACTGCTATTCATTGTGCCATGAATTCTATCTGCATACGTTAATCCTAGCAGAATTTAGTTTGAAGATCCTTACCGACCACCTGCCAAAGGTGAGATAGGCAACATGAGGAGCCCCAGGTGAAATATTGAATTCTTCAATCACAAGTATTAGACATAGACAGTTCTTCTGCATGTTGAGGTCCTTCTAACTTTGCAAGGAAACCCAAACAACTTCAGAATCAAACACACTTACTATATCAAAGTAAGAATTAGCTCTGGATCTTGATTTAGAAAGCTTCAGTTCCTTGTTTTCTCCCTCCCTCCCTCCCTTTTCTTTCCTTCTTTCCTTCTTTCCTGCTTTCCTTCTTTCCTGCTTTCCTTCTTTCCTGCTTTCCTGCTTTCCTGCTTTCCTTCTAGAACCAACTAGTAATCTACTGATTGCTTTGCCATCTGTTGAAGAAGGCATGAAACTAGGAAAGAATTCACCTTCAGCTCCTTGGAGGATAAATGTGGGAATACAGTTAGCATAATGGCAAACTTAGCATTCTGCTTTTGCTTTCACTAATACTATGTTGA